TGTAGGTATGCTGCTGATTCTTCCTCCCCAGGTGCATCACCTTGCACTTGTCGGTGTTGAATCTCATCCTGTTCTCATCTGCCCACCCCTGTAACCTGTCTAGGTCTGACTGCAGCCTATTCCTCCTGTCTAGCATGTCCACATCTCCCCACATCTTAGTGCTAGGTAAGAGAAGTCACTAATACTACCTCCAAAGTGAGTTTGGGCCTAAAGTTAGAGTCAGAAGGGGAGGGAAAAGAGTCTTCTGACAAATTGGTCTTGCTGGGTACCAGGAAGCTCTGAATCCCTGTTTGTTTGTGTTTGGAACGATTATTAGAGCTTGATCATGGAGTCTCAATACATTTACCCTAGTGATCAGCAGTTTTATGCTGAATAAAGCAGTAGACCCCAGTGACCATAAGTAGGGTGATCATATGGGACAGTGTGAAATCTGGAACACACTTTTTTTCCCCCTCCACCCCTCAGGCTGCAGGGAATCAATGGCATGTTAATGACCCATTGCTCTTTAACAAACACCATAAAGTAATAATTGGTGTTAATGGTCATTCCACTAATCAAGCTCACCTATTTTAGGGCAGTTTTGCTGTCTGCTAGGGCTTCATATTTTGCTGCTGCTGCTGTTTCTGAGCTCCACACCTGGGATGCTTGTTCTAACTTTCACCAGCTGGCTGGGAGCAGCCTCAGAAGCCAAACCAGAACATGTGGTCACCCTAACCCAGGGGCAGGCAACTTATTGTGGGCTGAGGGCTGCTTACTGAGTTTTAGCAAGCCATCGAGGGCCACACTACAGGCAGCCAAGAGCAGATAAATATTACATTTTCTAAATTTTCTAGGGGCCCTGCAGGCCAGATACAATGGCCTGGTGGGCTGCATCTGGCCCGCAGGCTGCATTTTGCCGAACCCCTGCCCTAACCATATGCAACTCCATTGAAGAAATGTTGAAGAATCACCTTCTGCCCCTTTTAGGTGCAGCATGATATCAATCTTCATCTTTACAGTTGTGAAGATTACTAAAGGAAGGGAACAAGCACCTGGAAATTAACCAGTGGCTAGCTGGCTAATGAGTTTTCTTATGGCTATACTGAATAAAGAAAACAGTTTATGAACTGAACTTAAAAACTCATCCCTTTATGAGCAGGTAAATTCCAACTGCTTTTACAATAAAACCAGGATGGTGACCTTTAAAGAGATAGTGAACCCATTCCTATAGTGGTAGATCAAAAGTATCTGTAGATGGTAGTGCTCTTGAACATAATTAATTTTAGACAAAGACGACAAATTCTTTAATTGGATTTTGTCACCGATGCAATCAGATGTTACCAAAGTTGTGTGAATCATCTAAGAAAACATACCTGCTTTTCATTTGAAGAAACATTTTTGTAAGTTTGCTGTCTGATGGGTACTAGTATTTAATTGCATGCAAGACAAAATACAGTCAGCATTATCAGGTGGAGGGGACGGTTTAAAAACATTCAGGACATGCTATAGAATGGGTTTTTTTGAAGAATGCTGTAACGAAGTGTCACCATGTGTTTCTTATGAAGTAACACACCTACTATGCAAAGCTAGCTAAGGTAACTACCAGCTGCACAATTAATGGCAAATTTGAATCTATATAGATTGTTCCTCATTTTTTTAATCTTCATAGGAGTACATACCTTTATATATAGAGAAGGTATCTGTTCAAGAGAGAAAATTCAAGTCACCCAAAATAATTAAACAGCATATTTTATTAAAAATAAATAATCATTTTTTTAGAAGCTTGCAGAAATTGAGTTGCAAATTCTGCTCTTACAAAATGAAAGACTTCAACATTTAGCGTAAATTTTAGTGTGTGTTTGTTTTTTTTTTTTTATGAGGAGGAAATCTGAATTCAGAGGAAAGGCTACTTCTTTGGAAGTTTATAGGAATTTACTTGCAATAGGGATTTGCCTACTGAGTTTTAAAGATGCTGGATTGCTTTCAAAAGCAGTGTTTCTTTTAATTTCCAATACCTGCTACATGTTAAATCCTATTTAAAGGCCGCCAACGTCCTTTTCTGAAGTTTTTGAAGTGGACTTGTTTTTGTTCAGTCAAACTTATTTTCAGAAATACTTGGTATAGTAAGCTTCCTCTACCCTATGAATCTCTCTCGCTTAATTAGTATGTGGGAATAATTAGAAATAAAAAAAAAATCCATTCCAAAGCAACAGTAAGATAGCGATTGTTTCCCTCCCACTGTCTTTTGACTGTTTCAGCATTGTTATCTTGAGGAAGTATAGTTTTAGTGGCTAGCATACAACACTTGTAAGTTAGGAGTTAGGTTTATTTCCCACGCTGCCCCTGATTTCCAGCATGATGACTATGGGCTGCCTCCTCTATAAGATGAGGAACTGATGCTACTTCCCATGGGGGAATTTGCAGTCTTGTTAATATTTATGAAGTGCTTTAAGATCCCAAGAACAAATATGCTATTAGACTGAAGCAGTACCTCTCAGTTTCCTGTTCTTGGAGGTAGTTTGTCTGTATTTCATCAGAAGAAATATTTTCCTTGTACAACAAAATTTGTAGCTCCTCATTTACAGCTGTTCTAGCCATAGAGGAAAAGAAGGGAAAATTAATTGTAGGTTCCTATTTTCTTCCTAGTTTTTTTTTTTTCTTAAATTCACATAACTGATCATTGCATTCTTTGTTTATATATTGCTATCTGAACTTTAAAATCACAACCTTTTTCACAGTAAAAAAAATGCAGTAGTTACTGGTTTAGTGTTTACCACAAATTCTAAAAAGTATCCTTTTATATGACTACCATGTTAGACCAAAAGGTTTGCAGTTATGCCAGTACTGTTTTATAGTTCGTGTTCGCATTTCATGTTGGTGCCATACAACAGCACCTGCTTGCAAATATTTCAGATATTTCCTAAATCTAGGCATGTCTTCTGGTCTAAAGTATCGTAGAAATTAAAGCAGATTTATGCATCTGGAATTTCACAAAATCCAGTGGAGCCATTATTTATAGGCATGAGAGATCTGCTTGTGTCAGTCTGATACAGCTTGATTCACTGAGCTGAAAAGACACTGGCAGGCTTGATCAGTCTTTCTTGTGTAAAGGTAATCCAGATACAGCTTTTCACTTTGCCTTTGCTCTTTTATATGAACATTCACCAGCTATCATGAAAAAGGATATTAGCCTTTTTGTACTGAATTTTTTTGGATGACCAAGATCTCTGCCTGTGAGCTAATCTAAAAAAGTCCTTGTGCCAGTGCTACATAATGGCTTCTGACTTAATCTGACCTAATGCTACCTGGGTCCAATTTTTGCTTTGGGCATTAGAACCAACTGCTTTTACCCATCTGTGAACTGGAATACCAAAGGAAAAAAAAAAGGGGGGGGGGGGTAGTT